CCTGCTAGTGCCCACAGAGGCTCATCTTTGCTTACCTTTCATGTCCTACTTTACTTCCTCTTTTTAATTTTCAATATTTCATCCTATTTATACCCAATTGACTTTACCTATTTAAGATGGTAAGTAAAAGCAGAGCATTATAAAAGTACCTCCCTGGCACTTAATGTTTCCTATGATTGTTATGCTAATATTGTTTGCCTTGGCTTTCATTTTTTTCCTAAACCACAGATAAGCTTAGCTCTTCTATGTAACTCACACCTTCCCAGCTGCTTAATCTCAGGAATAATTCCTTTTTTCCCCAAAACACTTTTTCTCTTTACTATTTGCTCTGTCCAGTTTATCATTGGTGTTTGCCAGGTGATGGTTTGGTTTTTTCTTTCCAATTATGTCATTTCAGACAAATATCATATTGACCCTTTTAGTGGTGTGATACGATGGTAGATATTCCATAAACATTTTTAGTAGGTATTCAAGAGTGTAAAGTCAGATGTACAATGAGTTATTGTTTTACCAGGAGATTAAGATAAATTTAATTTAGTAAAAGTATTGTGACTATTACATTTCAAAGTCTTCTACATATTTAAAACAAAACAGCAATATCAGAATATTTTTTACATACATTTTAGATCATGAAAATGTTACATCTAATTAACTAGATGTGACTATTATTATAAATCCGGAAAAGCTGTTATACTTAAGGACTTTAAATTTTGCTAATACAAAACCATTGTTAAGGACAACTATTTATTTTTTTATTTTATTTTTATTTTTATTTGTGCATATAGAACTGGGGTACAGGCCAGAGGCTCAGGGGCGGCAAGAGGATTCACCAGAGACAGAGTGGGGAGCAGAACAGGCAGATTGACAAAGTACACTGCTGAGGGGAGCAGAGGGCCGGCCAGGAGAGGTCTGCCACACCATGTGGTCACCTCTGGGGCAGGTGGGAATTGAACTCATGCGAAAGTGGCTTTAGCTTCTTAGTGCTGTGCTTTAACTTGCTGCGCCACCAAGGAAGGCCAGGACAACTATTTAAATACAAATACTGGTTTTAAACAGAGCTGCCAGATTTCAAGAGCTTTACACAAATAATATGTTTTCTAAAATCCAGTTGGGGAGGAATCTCAGTACATGCATGCATAACTAAATGCCGTTTCATGCTTAGGCCACAGAATTATGTGAATGAATCCATAACCTTTCCAAATATATGCAAGTTTCTTATAATAATTTTTCTTTCTTGAAAACCTCTACGGGTATGTAACTTTCAGGTTTCAGATTTTCCATGACAATCTGTTTTACTCTAGGTATACTTTTAGACTCTCCCTTCCCCTGAAGTCTCTGGTTATAAGGACAGAGGGGCTTGTCTGACCGACTTCCTGCCAGAACTAGATTGCCTTGCTGCCCTCTCAGTTATGTAACTTTCTTATTTTATAGCCACGAGCATTTAGCTGTAATAAATGATAAGCTTTCTTGTTTTCTGGGTTATATTGATGTTTTTTATTTTATCCTTTTCACAACAATGACATACTGCTGCCTTTTCTAGAGCTCATATTGTCAAGTTGAATTGACACATTAAATGCAGACCCTGTTTAAGGCTCACTCTCCTCTGCTTTCTGCCTTTCTCTTGATTTTGCTGTGTCCTGTCACCAGAGCAGAGCTAACACCAGATAAAGCTAAAAGTGGTAAGGCCACCTCAGATAATACCTTTAGATGGTGACCCATAATTTGGATTGTAAATTTTAAGTAGCACAATTGTTTGTAGCTTTTCTTTCTCTGCATATTTTTTTCCATGAAGTCTTACTTTGAATCAAAATAGAGATAAATGTTGACTTATTTTAATTACTTTGAGTTCAAATAAAGAAAAGTGATAAAAGTTGCCTACAGTTGAAGGCTGGAGCAAAAACTGCTAGTTTGACTTGTCTTTTTACTATATCCCTCTCCAGTTGCCACTCCAGGTAGCCTCATGTATCCCTAGAGCTCCATAAAGAAAGCAGTTTAGAAATGACTAATATGGATAGACTCCATTCTGGAGCATAGTCCTAGTGTCTCCAGTTTCATTCAATTCTGGGATGTCTGGTTTATCATGACCATGGTTAAGAAATTCCTTCCCTACCTCTCACCTAATATTTCCATTTTAGTAAATAGTTAATTCCATTTATTTCAGAACGTAAGCTGAAAACTTCAGTTACTTCTTACTCTCTAGTTCTAATCCAGTAGCACATTTATGTTTGTTTGTTTGTTGCCTTTGAAATACATCCCAACTTACTGCCCTACTCATCTTCTCTTTGTTTTTCTTCTGGAAACTGCAGTAGTTACTAACAGAATCTTGTCTCCCACCAAAATCGTATAGTGGTAGTGACATGGATTCAGAAACCAGATTGCCTGTATTCAGTTGAATAGTTACATGAAGTTGAGGATGATAATAATCAATAGGACTTACTTCATATGGTTGTATCAGATGAAATACTGTGTGTAAATTATTTAGAATAATGCTTGGCATAGACTAAACCATGTTAGGTAATGGGTGATATTGTCTCTATTGAATTCCTTTCACTTTTAGAACAATGTTCAAAATCCTTACCTGGCTTTCCTGGACCCAGTCAGCAGCTCCTTTGTGGGATCATTATTTGCCCTTCCACATTCTATTGTAGCTGGTCTGATGCTGTTCCCTGCCCTGGCCAGTTATTTCTGCCTTTGCACTTACTTGCAAGATAAGCTCACCCTACAGATACAGCAGGTCCTTGAGTAACAATCCTTTCTTTCAGTGTCTCTTATTTTAACATTAGTGAGGAAAAAATAGCCCTAGCCAAAGTTGAAAGAAACATTTTTCATTATTAAAGGACTTGCTTCCTTATAGTCTTGGTTTGCTTAATGTTAATTCCCAAGAACCTATTGAAGATGTTAAGTGAAGACTCACAGTTTGCTATTCCATTCATTTAAGTCTCTGCTCAAAGTTCAGATCCTCAGAGAGTTCTCTGGCCACTGTTCTAGAGTATCAGTCTTTCATTTCCTCAGATTCTTTTTCAACTTAATTTTTTTTTTAATGTTTTACGGCAAGATAACATCACTCTCTAACATTACATTATATATGTACTTAACTATGCAGTATATAGTTTATTGATTATTTAGCCCATTAGGTTCCAGACTACATGAAAGCAAGAGACTTTTATTCCGCCCTTTTAGTCACAGGACTTTTCAGGTGTACAGAATGTGCTTAAGAATAGGCTACCACAAAAGTAGATGGAGGGACATGCTGAGGAGGATTTGCACAGAGATGCTGAGATTACCAGGTAGTTGGAGAGACACAGGGTTATAATTTTTTATGAGAACACCATGGGAAGAGTTCAGCTCAGTTAGGTTTTTTTTCCTTCATTCTTTTCTGTGGATAAGATTGTATCATGTAGCTCATAATTGACTCAATCAAAAATGGATTAATTGAATTTTTAAAATGGTATCTTATAGTTACTGCTCAAGGTCTACGTAAACCTTTCCTTAGCAGTAACAAGAAGTAAATTGTTTGGGTTATTAATCTTTTGTTGATTATTATTAAGCCCTTGCCATTCTCCTTGTTATTTTCAACCTCAGAGGCATTTATTTGTCTAGAACCAAGAAATAAAAGAGACATGGAACTGTGATATTGTCCACAAATTCTTCTTCTGATAAAGAGTAAATGCTTATAAAGATCAGAGTCCACAAAAAGTGTTCACCCCTCTCTCCTCCCAACATTGGGAAGTAAAATGCTTCTAGTCTCTTAGAAATGGAACACTGTTTATTCACTAATCTGTTGTATATGTATTTTAAAAATTTACTTTTGCCATTGGTCTTAAATGATGAGGTAACTTAATTACTGTTTTATAACTTTATATTAATTCATTAAACTTACTACTGACCTATCAGCTTTTTAATACACGAGGAAATTGCAGGAATAACTGATAGCCTTGAGGATTTTTGGTTTAATAATCAACCTTTGGTAATTTCAGCTGATTATTACTTACCTACATTCCTAGAACATGAAAGTTACGTGATGCTTTATAGTTTGTTCTTCAACCTTTGTGTTTAATACCCTGTAGTTTTCTGATCAATATCTTATAATTTGAATGAAAACATGACTTTCTGATTTGTAGAGGGATTAGTCCATATACTATTTGTGATTTTAGCTTTGTTTAAATCACTGACAGGGCCTTCCTGTGGCACAAGGGGTTAAGTCTCAGCACTATCAAACAATTGGCAGCCACTGCAGCCCAATCTCCATTCCTAGCCAGGGAGCTGACCCACATGACACAGCAGACCTCTCCTGACACAGCAGACCTCTCCTGTTTCGAAGGCAGCTGTCCCCTCAGGGTGTGTATTTCAGTAGATCTATCTGTTCTGCTCCCCAATTGGTCTCCAGTGAATATTTTGACTCCCCACACCTCTGGCCTACACCCCAGCTCTTGTATGCATAAATAAATATAATAAATCTTAAAAATAAAATCACTGATATTAAATGAGTTGATGCTTAGAGTTGACCTAAATTTTGCCTGCCCGAAATTAGTTCCTTTCAGAGACAGTATCAGATGATATGTTTGTCAGACAGTAATATAGGTGTTCTGGTGTGAGCTCAGGGAGGATAGAAATGTCCACGGTGCAGGACCAAAACACTTGATAAGACAACTATTATGATTAAAGATTCTGAAAGTGGGTCTTGGTTTTTGGAGTTTTGGGCAGGGACCAGAGTCTGTGGCAGCCAGGTGTTCATTGCAGTGTTGTTTTCTGGTTTTTCAGTGTTGACTTGTTTCATCACTGTGAAGCAGACTTCATCAGACCATGAATAGTTTACCAACCTACCCTTGTACTCTTTATAAGCGTCAGCAGAGGGTATCTCTCTTTTTATCCATAAAATATGGTTTTTATTAGCAAGAAGAACTTGTAAATCAAAGTAACCAATGGAAATAGATCTTTTTACATGCTGTCTTCCCTTTTTCTTCATACATGAACTTTTAAAATTATTGTTATTATTACAGGCTATGGTTGCTTGTTATCCAGGCAATGGAACAGGTTATGTACGTCATGTTGATAATCCAAATGGAGATGGAAGATGTGTGACATGTATATATTATCTTAATAAAGACTGGGATGCCAAGGTAAGCAACTTAATTGAGCCTGTTTTTTTCCACCTGCTGCTTTTATTGCCACGAGTCTTAAGGTTGATGTTACTCATAGTGAAATTGTTTTTAACACACAGAAGTTCTCACTTAAAAAAAAAAATAGTTCTCGCTTAGATTTTTTTCATTCTCAGATAGTAGGAATAGGTTTTGTAAAATGTAAAATGAAACAGGTATTATTAAATTCCAAAAAGTAGATTTCCTTCTTTTTTAGATATTGAAGCTTTCATCCAAAATTTTAACTTTTACAAAAGTATCTTACTCATTTATCTTCCTTTAATATTTTTATAAAGGCTTCTGAAAGTTATTGCTTTATAATGATTCAAGGGAAATTCTGTGTTAAATAATATTGGGAATTATTTGCCACTTTCCTTTTATTCTTTACATTGTTATAAAGATGTTATCTGTCATTGGACTGTTGAATTGAATATTGGAGACAGGATTCATTCTAATCCTGATTGTGGAAAAACTAGAAGTTTGTCAGCACTAACAAAGCCTATAAGGTCAACTAAAATGTATACTACATTTGGGCCCTCTCTGGTGGCGCAGCAGGTTAAAGCACAGCACTAAGAAGCTAAAGCCACTTCAGCATGAGTTTGATCCCCACCCGCCCCAGAGGTGATCCACATGGCGTGACAGAATTCTCCTGATCTGCCTGCTGCTCCCCTCAGCAGTATACTTTGTCAGTCAGCCTGTTCTGCTCCCCACACTGTCTCTGGTGAATCCTCTCACCGCCCCTGCACCTCTGGCCTGTACCCCAGTTCTGTATGCATAAAAAAAAATGTATAAAATGTATACTACATTTAATCTCTTGTTTGAAATATATATAACCTTAACACTACTACTCTTGAGTTTTGTTTAAATTTAAATGACTTAAATTTTAGAGGTATGTTACATGTTATTCCATTGGATGTTATATAAACTAATTTTTGGGTTTTATTTATCTAATCTTTTTAAATTTACTTTCATTGGAACAAAATGCTCAAATAAAAACGTGAACACCGTGTACAGCTTAGTTTTTACTTAAATAACTTTTGAAATGCCTCCCACTTCCCCATAACATACATGCAGATGAAAACCACCATGTCTTAAGTGTACAAACCACCTTGTCCTCATTGCAAATACAGGAGGACATATATTTGAATTAATCCTTTATGAATAGAATCCATTTTAAAAGCAAATAGTTAATTGCTACATCAGGTCCATCCTGGGAAGAATTAAAGTTTCTAATAATGACTGTGATGATAATAAAAATAATAAATGATGATACTTTCTAATGATATATTAAGTTTTCTAATTAAGAGACATTACATTTGTGACATTCCTATTATCTGTTGAACTTTAAAATATGAAACATTTAACATATGTAGTGATTTGTAGCAATTTAATCAAGATAATTTGAAATGGATACATTTGAAAGGTAGGCTAAAGGAAATCATTAATATACATAAATAAGAGATGTTTACCAGTTTTTAAAACTTTGAAGTATCTTTTTAAGATGAATTCAGAACATACTCATCTCTCATTAAGTGTTTAGGATTCCTAAACCAAGAAATGAATTCTTTTTTATATCAGCACGTATACTTAGAATCTCAACTCACCTTCATACTTTCTGATATGTGAATAGTTCATCTAGGGATTTTGTGATTGAAATGTCCTTTTTCCTCTCTAAATTTAATATTGGTGCTTTCTCAGTACTCACCTGTACTCACATATTTGGCTCTTTCTAGGTAAATGGAGGTATACTTCGAATTTTTCCAGAAGGCAAGGCCCAGTTTGCTGACATTGAACCCAAATTTGATAGACTGCTGTTTTTCTGGTCTGACCGTCGCAACCCTCATGAAGTACAACCAGCATATGCTACAAGGTAGTATTCCTTTTTTAAAAAAAAGTGGTGCATAGTAGAATAGTAAGAGAATGCATAGACTGAACTTTATAGTTTTTTAAATCAATATCTTCCTGCTTTTTAGGCACCTTATTAATGCATCAGCTCCTAACTATTTTAATTTGCATAACTTTATATAAGATTTATTTGCAGTTAGCTCTAAATGTTGAGACTTTTTTTTTTCCACAGCCACTCCTTATTGGGATGAAATAAGGAAGCCACGCTCTCTCATCTTTCTAGCCCCTCCTCCTTGTTTTATGTTTCTCTTTACTATCCATTCTGATTTGAAAAATTACATAAGAAGTGAAAAGCACAACTTTTTAAGAGGTGGTGAGGGAGGAAAAGAGGAATGAAGTAGGAAAATAATAGGTAAAAAAGAAACAGAAGAGACAGAATAAGAAAAAAGGAATAGAGGAAAGAAAGGTAGAGAAAAGATTGTCTTATGTGGGATTAAATGTTAGAAAAACAACCTTTTAGCTTTAATAATAAACATTTGCTAGGATTATTATGTTCCTTTTTTCTATAAGGTTTAATATTCTAAGGCTATCATATTTAATGTAAACTTCAAAATTTTTTCTTCTTTTTACCATGATATGATTGATATATTAAGACTGCTATACAGAAGATATTATAACATTGCTATAAAGGTAAATGTTTGTAGAAAAACTTCTTTAGATACCAGTTTTTCACTATGGAGAGGACTTTGAACATTAGTGATCCATTGGAGTCAGTTGTGTAGACACGGCACAGCTGTGATGAGCCCTCGCCACCCGACCCCTGCAGAGTTGGGGCAATAGATGTGTCAGAGATGGGCTCAAATCTGAAGACTTGTCATCGCTCCCTCTTTTCTTGCGCCTCTCTGAGCCTTATTGACCTCATCCTTATTCTCATAGTGAGTACAAGGCAAGCAGTTTGTGGTTAAAGATCATGAAAGCCAAGACTGGAAACCAGGGAGGACCTGCCTCCTGAGACCCCAATTCCCTCAATATCTCCACACTTGGTGTTGCCCCTAAGCTCTTTGAAACCTTTTCTGACCTAGAAACTAGTTCATAGACCTTCCTTTAGATGGAATCTTGAGGATGGTTTGGTTGTATCCTTTCTCATGGAAGAGGTAACACATTTTTAAGAATAAATGCCAAATGATTATGGACAATAAGTACTGTGGGAATTTGGAGGAAGGAAAAAGTGGTATGAGATTAAAATATCAGAGAAAGGAGTCACAGTAAAGAGAGGTGCTCAGCTAGGCCTAGCATGACAAGAAGCAAGGAATACAGAGTGTTAGTAAAGCCCTGATAGAGAAGAGCAAGGTTATTTAAAGTATTACAAAAATTAATGTAAGAAGGATTTCCTGAAGGATCAGTGGGAGAAAAATAAAGTGACATATGGTAGCTTCAATTGTTTTCAAATAAGGATTTGGGGCTGTAGAGAGGAGTTGATCCAGATACTAGAGTTTTGATTCCTAAGTATCTAAAACTTTGGGGCATGGACAAAAGAGAGGAAATCATATATCTCTAAGGCCACTGGAAAAATAGTGGAGGTTATGCGGTTAAAAAAAAGTGGTGGAGCTTTGGAGAACCAGGCCTGGAAGGCAGGAGGCTAGATTATGTCCCATAATTGTTTCTCACTGCTGAATGATATGTGACCTCCATTTCTCAGCTATTCCAACTCCCAGACTTTTATTTATTTATTTATTTTAAGATTTATTATGTTTATAAGATCTAGGGTGCAAATGAGAGATGCAGTGGTTGTGTGTGTCCGGGGGAGGTTTGGGGTGTGTGAGAGGATTCACCAGATGGGGGGAGCAGAACAAGCAGATTTATTGAAATACACTGCTAACAGGAGCAGCAGGCAGGACAGAAGAGGTCTGCTGCACCATATGTGGGTTAACTCCTTGGCCAGGGATCGAACAGGAGACTCACAGTGAGTCTTTGCGGTGACAGGGCTGAGATTTAACCTCTAGGCCTTCAGGTATGCCCAAACTCTCAGACTCTTGATTCTCTGCATTGACTCTTTAAAGTGTTACACGGTTTAATTGTTACACTTGCAGACTTTTTACTGGATCAGAGTTGTCCCCCTAGCCCCACCCCATGAACACCAAACAGAATCTGAACAGCATTTTAACTAATCACTATGTTCTGGATTTTGGTCTTTTGTAGCATCCTCTACCTTTCCATGCTTTCCAGTAATATATGTACATTTCCTCCATTATTGATACCAAAAGACTTAGCTATGGCCTTTGTGGCATCTAATAAGCCAGATACTTTATTTATTTGTGTATGAAATAGTCCAAATAATGAAATTTTCAGGGAAATAAAGTTTAGCTAAACTTTATATGTTGAAACATAATGTGATTATTTTGATAAAATCCTTTTTTAAATATCTTAGCATGACTTGATGACTCCAACTTATTCTTTGCAATAGTATAGTGAGGCCCTCAGAAGCTGTTCAGCTATTAACCCTCCCTTTCAAGAAGAGACCTCTGCCTTTTATCCTTTTCTTTCCCTCTTTTCTTCTTTTATGCTATTGACAATGTGCTTTTTTTTTTTATGTAACAGCCATTCTTTTGCCTTCTTGCTGCTGTTTCTGATCTGCTGTGGGCTTACCAAATAATCAAATAGTTTAAGTAGGTACTAAGAAAATCATAAAAATGTATCAACTTTGAAACATCAGTTTTAGCCACTCCTGGTTCTCTGCTGTACTCTTATTCATGAGGTTACTATATAAATGGGTTGTCAACTGCGCTCATTTATCCTCTGATAGTATTCCAATTTTGGCTTTACAAATTTTAATAGACCATTGCAACAGCATATCACTTTTTTCCCCTAATGTGATCATTCTTACCCTATTATAATTTTCTTTTAGGTACGCAATAACTGTTTGGTATTTTGATGCAGATGAAAGAGCACGAGCTAAAGTAAAATATCTAACAGGTAAACACTATTCGGGGCCAGGGTCTACTGGAAGGAAAACACCCCATCGTTGGGTTATGCTTTCACTGAGCACAGACACAGCCTTTATGCACACCGTAAAGACTTACTTGCTCCTGGTTTTTGTCCAATTCCTAATTCCCTTATTTTCCCTTATTTGAAAGGGAAATTTCACAAGTCACAAGAGACTTTTGTTATCCCTAACAAATGAAATTGTTTAAAGGTTAGGAAAATTTGAAGCAAAGAAGTCTGAGGGAATTATTTAAATATAAGCAGTTTTTCTGTGATTATCCTTTTTGATCACAGGCCGCCACGCTCTTCTTGGTAACTACCACGTCACTTCCTATCATTCTTCCCTTAGAAGGAAGTTAACATGTTTTCCTTTTTAAATGCAAATGCTCTAACGTATACTCCCAGTCTCCATGTTGAATACATGGACTTGGACATAACGAAAACTAGTGAAAAGGACATGAATTAAATTCAGTAAATCTGATGGGCATGTAGCATTTCTGTCAGTGGTGTCCATCATAGGTCAACGCCCTTATACTAAATCTGAAGGTCTTGCAATGTGCTAGTCCTGCCCCATTTATGAATTGTCTCTTGAAGCAATGGGTCTTGTTTTTCCCTGGAATGGACCACTTAACCTATCTTTTATTTTATCCTATTGTGTATTTCCAAAAGTCCATTGAGTAATTTATTTATTAACTGGCTATAGTCTGATGTGCCATTGAGCATCCTACATCAAGCTTTTATAAAACTAGAAAAATTGAATGCCCAAGCCTTTTCTAAAGTATTCTTTGTGACAGAAGCCTAGTGGTATGCTTTCAGTGATGTTGAACACTGGTAGTTTATAGCCATCCATAATGCTTTTAAAATAAAAAACCAAAATCATCATCTCTGTGCTAAGTGATGGGTTTTCCCTTGGAAGGTTTACTAGTTGAGAGAAACACAGTCTTTATGATGTAATACTGAGGGTAGGTTAAAATATAAGAGTGATGGTTTTCAGCGATGTATGTTAACAAAGTTGAAATATGGTGTCTACTGTTAGGAACTCAGGTGGGAAGTTGTAATAGAAGTTCTTAATGGTCTTTGTTTTTTGTTTGTTTTTTTACTTTGCAGGTGAAAAAGGTGTGAGGGTTGAACTCAATAAACCTTCTGATACAATCAGTAAAGACATCTTGTAGAGCCTTTGATCCAGCAATACCCCACTTCATCTACAATAATTGTTGACACTATTTGTTTAACTTGTGAATACGAATAAATGAGATAAAGACAAAATAGACAACCAGTTGGCATTTTAATAAGGAAACCGAAACAACTTTTGTGTTGCATCAGACAGAAGATTTTGACTGTGTGGCTTTGTACTGCATGATAGACTCCAAACCTGTGATTGCTTATGGGAAGAATATAAGCTATCAACTGAAAATGTTATCTACGTCTAGACATGAAATAAACGCCCTAGGTAGATTTTTTTCATTCTTATATTTTGCCAGATCTGTCATCTAGCTGACTTCATTTCATCTCTCCCTTTTTTATATAGTCAAGTTTGAATTTGAAATAATTTTTGTATGATCAGGTACAATTTATCAAAACTGAATTGAAAAAATTACAGTATTATTTCCCAAAATAGCATCAATCTATTTTTGTAAACTTCTTCGAACTATTAAATTTTGCCCTAAAAGACATCTTATAATGATTGTTGCCAGTGACTGATGATTAATTTTCTTTTTACTTCATAAGAATAGGAGCACTTTAATTACCAACCGAAAAGTCAGATTGTTTTGTAGTCTTGTCTCACACTAATTTGAAATCTTAAAGATTGCTGCTGTTGTTTTTTTGACATTGTTAATAATGGAACATAATAGTAAAATCATCACCACTTACAATCAATAACTTTTTGTTCATGTTTTATAAGGAAAAAATATACACTAAGAAGGTTTTATCTTTTAAGTTAAAAAAAAATGACTGGCACTAAATGAACTTGAGGTTATCCTCAACATCAAGTTCCCAAGATAAGGGCTTTCTTACACTTTTCAGGTGTGTCCTATAGATTGTAGGAGATAATGTCTTCTTCCTATGGCTTTTCCTTTGCTGCCCTTCAAGTTGATTGTAGTTCAATTCTACTGTTATGTTTCCTTCCTATTCCTGTGACCCATCTGACCTGCAGACCACGACTTTGTGTCTGTGGGACCTCATCAGGGGGAGACTGAACCGTGTTGTGACACTCACTGGTACAGTGACTCCTCAACCACTGTTGAAATGTTTATTTCCCAAATGTGATGCTGACATCTTATCAGTGCTGGAATATGTATGTTTATCTTTTAAAAAAAAAAAAAAAAGGCAAGTCAGATACTATTTTTATGTTTTATGGGTTTTCCTTTTTTACTTTTCAGAAAAAAAGTATTACAGAATCACACAAGACCTCCCGGCTGTCTGTTGTGTAATATATGAATTGGAGTGGGTATCTTAATACTTCAGCTTCTCCCCAGGTTCTTTAGCGGAGCCCAAACAGTGGTATCAATATTTTGCATGAATTTTGGGTGTAAGATCTTTCCTACTTCAGTTTTCTCTCTCCGTCCTTGATCTTCTTTGCCAAAATAATGTGAGTGTACAGAAACATTTCTGTATATTTCAACTTATGACCGTTTTAGCATCTGTATAGTTTGTATTCAATTAGAGACCTTTTCTATGGAAAGCTCAGTAATTTTTATTAAAAGATTGCTATTGTTCATGTAAAACATGAAAAAATTGTTTAGTGAAACTGACAGTTTGGATTTAGGGTGGGATTAAATATTCAGTATTATGATCTCACTTAGAAAAACCTGCAGGAGCAAATTATAGTTTATTGTTGTTTTTCCTTGCTCTTAATTCAGTTTTGTTCCACTTCCTCTCCTTGTTCCCGATAATACAATGTAACATCTCTACTGTAAGTGCCTCTGCCAGCCCAACCCAACTTTGCCATCTGGTCTGCAGTGTAGGGTACTCCAGTGGGCCACAGCTCCAAGTGTTACATCGTTTTTAAGTCTAGCAGAAATCATTATGTTGATGGGAGGTTGAATTGTCAAAGTGGACAGCAACAGCCTTTTTATCTGGGAGCCCTGTGTCATTTCAAATATGTATTCTGCTGTTGTGCAAAGTGTCAGATTCAAGTATCTGTGGGCTGTACTTGCCAGATAGGTCTTAAATTTTGTATTTGGGGGTAACATTTTTAAAATTTCATGGAGATCATTCAGAAAGGATAAAGAAGTCAGGATAGTCATTTCTTTAATGACCTTTTAAAATCTGTTCATTTTATGTTAGTGGGACCGTTAATTTGGCACCAAGCAGGACTCTATTTAAAACAAAACTTAAAACTCTGTGGCCTACATTGTTTAAACCTGGTTAAAGCTCAAGTTTCATAATGCTGTTTTTGATCAATACATTAACCAGCTGTAAGACACAGACCTTTATCAATAGCAGGCAAAGAATTTCAGGATTCTAATACAGACTGTAAAGTCATGTGACTTGAAAAGCAGTGTTCCGTTATGAAAGAGCTCTCAAGTTGCTTGTAAAGCTAATCTAATTAAAAAGTTGTATAAATGTTTTTGAAAAAATTATGGTTATTATTTCCAGCTGTGTTTCTTCTGGTTTTTGTTTGTAACCCTTTTATCATACACTGACTTTCTGAGTGGGCCTTCCATCCCACCCCATGCTTTTCTGTCACACATCTATGTCTTTGTTCAGAACATTTGATGTTCCCGTTATAAACAATAACATGGAAGAGAGAGAACAGAGGAGCTCATCGACTTTAGAAACATCCTGGGGTAATTGTACTGTCTGTGGATCTGTGTGTGGATTCTTGCCTCTGTAAGAGGATTTTTAAAGTTACTCTGGCATTCACAGAGTGTTTACTGCAAACAGGACTGGTTACGAGGCTATCGCTGGTTGCTACAGGTGTCCTGCTGTATGTACGCTTAAGTTTCATTGTGTGGTCATTGATTAAAATATAAGAGCTCTCATAATATGGGATCAATATCAACACACATGTTCATTTATTTTTAAAAACTTTTAATGTGGTGTTTCTCTTATTGTCCAGCATTTATGGCATTTGGAGAGTTACATTAAAATATAACTGGGTGGGCTGAAGGAGAGTCTGAGAGCAAACAAGTTAGAGATGAAGATTAATTAGTGTGTGAATAAGCACAATAGACAATGACAAATCTGTTTAGTTCTGAACTCAACCACTTAATATTTTTTGACCTTCTAAGCCTTTTTCATCTGAATACGCACACTGGCCTCCAGACTTAAGGACCATTGTACAAGCCCTAAATGAAATACTGATTGCATTTGTGGTGTGTGTGGTCCAATAATGAGAGCTGTTTTTAGGGTATGGACTGCAGTGATATATATTAAATCATATATTTAATAATATAAATATACATTGGGTGTTTTTTAAGTTTTTTCAATTAATTTGTAAAGTCTCATAAATACCCAGCTCCATTTCTTTTCTTTTTCTTTTTTTTTAAGATTTATTTATTTGTGCATACAGAACTGGGATACAGGCCAGAAGCTCATGGGCGGCAAGAGGCTTCACCAGAGACAGAGTGGGGAGCAGGACAGGCAGATCGACGAAGTACACTGCTGAGGGGAGCAGCGGGTGGGTCAGGAGAGGTCTGCCACGCCATGTGGTCACCTCCGGGGCAGACGGGGATCGAACGCAATCGGAAGTGACTTTAGCTTCTTAGTGCAGTGCCTTAACCCGCTGCGCCACCAGGGAGGGCCCACTTTTTTTTTTTTTAAAGATTTATTTATGCATACAGAACTGGGGTACAGGCCAGAGGTGCGAGGGGTATGAGGACTCTCCAGAGAGTGGGTAACAGAACAGGCAGATTGACTAAATACACTATTGAGGGGAGCAGTGGACAGGTCAGAAGAGGTCTGCTGTGCCATGTGGGTCAGGTCCCTGGCCGGGGATTGAACTCATACTATAGTGGCCATGATAGCTTCGGCCCCTAGAGAACAAATTTTGACTAGTTTTAAGTGATTGGTTCTTCTGGTGTTTGTCTTTTAATAACATAATTACATTGTCACACAGTGACTTTCAGTGTTGTGTACTGACTTCCTCACATGGAAGAACATAGGTCTTTCCAGCCCTCCTCTCCCACCCTCCCATGCACAAGTACACCTTGGGTTTCATTACGGAACTCTGTGGCCACACAGCTGAGGTTAAGGGTCTCTGGCACGACTCTTTGTGCTATCCAAAGCTGAGACATAGAGGAAACCATTGTGACTTTTCTCCTCCAGTTTACTTTTTCCCTTATGTCTTAGTTTATCTTTTGCCCTGTGGCTTCCAACCTGCAGCAACCTGGAGTGATTGCTCTTTCTCCCTGGAACATTGCTGTCTTCCTTGGATCTTTCTCCATGGTTGGAGAGTGCCTTTACCACTCTGTTGGATCTTCTGCTTCCTGGATCCCCTGTCTTCCTCCTCCTGAATGAGGACTTACTTCCTCATTCTGGTAGAGCATGTCCTCTAATAGTTTCTGTGAAAGAATATGTGAGTGGTGCATTTCATGAGCTCAGTGGTTTAGTTTTACTCCCAAACTTCACCAGTAATTTGCCCGAGTTTAGAATTTTAGTGTGGGGTCATTTTCCTTGGAATTTTGAAGGCATTACCTCACTGGTTCTAGTTTCCAGTGAGGAAAATGAGAAATCTGAAGTCATGCATATTCCCGTATCTTTCCATGTAGTCTTTTCCTCCGTGTATTCGTAGTATTCTTGAGTGTTGGCTGACACTCAGTCAGTATGCTGGGCTTACAAGCTATAAATGCATGCCTCTGGGGGGACATTTTCTTGTGATGTACAGTAATTCTCCTCTGTTCTTTGTAGAATGCCTGGCATTCTGACAGAACTCTAATGTTTTGAGCTTGTCACTCTCTTCTAGTTACTAAGTGTGTATCTTTTAACTTATTTTGGGGACATCTATTTTCCAGTTCATCAAGGGTTTCATGAAAGTCTACTACCTGGTCTTTCATTTTCAAGAGTGCTTTTATTCTCTAAATTATAAAAATAGATAACCTGTTAAGGGGATACAGTATTTAACCTTTGTCATTTCTGTCTTCCTCACATGTCTTCCTTGTACTGCTCTGTGTTAATATTTTAGGGGAGGCACTTGGGCCTCTGGCTCTTAAAAAGATTGACAGCTAAATCTCAGTATTTCTTTCCAAGGAAAATAGTTCTTTCCAAGAAATACTCAGCTTCATCTGGGTTTCTTTCAAAATGATGTCAATACCACGTAGACAAGAACAAAGTCTCCTGTCATCTGTATCTGCAGCATAACAGAAACAGAAAAGGTCAAGCAAAGAAATAAGCATTCGAAACTGAAGCAGCATGAGAACTCATGGAGCAGAGTGGGGTGGAAACTCAAAAGGCAGGAGCCAAAGGCAAAGAGGGCCTCCTGGTGGTAGTACATAGGCCCCCTCTATGAGTAATGGAAATTCTGATCAACTTGACATCAGGACACAGGTTTGAAAGTTCATGAGATTGAAAGTACCATTTCTGGGAGAGGGAGAAATGTCTCCTAGAGACTTGCTGAAGTGAAAGAAGGAAGCAAGTATTCTTCAAATAAAAAAAAAAAAAAAGCATCAGAGGAGACTCCAACCCCACCTACCTCACAAAAGGTACTCTTTTTAAGAAATC